CATCATTGCGTGTGGGTTGTCAACTGTGTTGGAGCTTTGAACTACAAGTATTTCCTTCTCTTCCTGGTAAGATGTCATAAATTATAGGAAATGCTATTGGTTGGTCTGGTTCATTTTGATGTTTATGTTTAGTTTAATGTTAATGCTTCATTTGCGCAATATTGTTTTATCTGGAAAAAAATCGCTAATTCGAATACATTTTGCTTTGTCTTGAAGTTTCTATAACATCAGTTCAGAAGGAAAAGCATATTACAATCAGTTCTATCTGGGCTCTTGGGAATTGAATAATGGAGTGAAATATAATATATCTGTGTGCTTGAGATAAAGTAGCACTGATTCAATTTGAAGAATCCTTGTACTCATGTCTTGAAATTAATAACAGTTGGAATGCAGATGCTTTTATGGAAGTATCTATTTTTTCAAACGAAATGACAGGCGGATGATTTTGGATGTAACTGTGGGTTTTTCTCTTCCATTTTCTGCCCGTAATAGACAGTATTTACTAGTAAGGTCTTGTGGTTAACCCTTTTTGAAGATGTCTAGGTTACTTGTCCAACCCTGTGTTGATTTCTCTGCATTCAATTTTCAGAAAGGGAAAGAAAAGCTGTTTGTTCTTTTCTCTACGCCTTGATTATTTTCTTACATACCCTGAGGAATTTGGTAATATTTCTTGTTGAAGCCTTGGAGCAAAATTGTAACGGTGGCCTTTTTTTTTTGTTGGGTGGGGGGTGGGGAGAGGATCAACTTTCTGGCTCATTTTATGTTACCTATTTCATTCGATTCAGTGAACATTGCTGGGTTTAAGTTGTGGGAGGACCTATTATGCAATCCTATTGTTTTCACGAATTCTGTCTTTTATTTGTTCATCCATTTGGCTTGCTAGAGGGCAACTAGATCCTGAGTCTTTCCCTTGTTTCAGCATCTTTTTATGTCTCTTCCTTTCACCCATTGTAAAATAATTCATGGAAGCATGAGAGCTTTCCGAAATAATAATAAAAAAAAAACCATGCCCCTCAATGCCATATAGGATTATCTGATTTTTTTTTTTAACATGCACCAGTGAGAAACATTTCTTTTAGTATGAGTAAGATGTTAATTTCTGCTAGTTGTCATACTATGAAGAAACATTTCATCACCTTTTATCATTTCAAAATTAAATTTCCCCCACATTAATCACTATTACTGATGTAGGACAATTTTACTATAAATAAATTATTATTACTAGTTTTAAGATTTAATTATTTTTGGTAGTAGGATACCTAGTATTTATAAGATACAATTAGTTTTAATATTTAGTTGATAGGGTTTCTATTTCTATTAGAAATATTTGTTTTTTTTTTTATTACGTAGTCTATTAGAATTGGGATATTACCTCTTCTTCCAATGCCTACATAACAAAAGAGCTAGACTTGTTGTAATCACTACTCATATTCATCACCTTCAAGTTATTTTAGATAATATTTTTGAGCTCTTTTTATCCTTCTCTTGTTTTTTACAAGATTGAACTTCCACTTCCGCACTAGTCACATTGTGGTGAATCTTCACAATTTGTGTGACATTTTCTTTTTCTTCATTTACTTCAACTTCCAGGTGGACGTAGTTTGAAATTGAATTCGAACTTACTCTGGGAGTTCAAATTATTTTGTGGGCTTGATATTTAAAAACACGTTAACAAAATATTGATAAATTTTTTTTGTCGTTGCAGTTCTACACATTCCTCGAGACTATTCTTGTGACTTTATCATTACTGCCACATTTTATTGCTTTCTTTAGTGATGAAGAGATACATGGGACTCAAAGGACTCTGGCAACTACTTTTCTTGTCTTTGGTAAGGTCAAATGCTCCTGCATCTCCATGCTACAACCTCCTTCCCTCCCCAATGCCCTTTTATTCACGTTCCTGGCACGTGGCCTTTTATCTAACTCTTGATTTCTCTAAGTTTCACAGTATTGAACTTGGCATTTGCTTTGAGTGTTATGGGATTTCTGATAATGCATATATCATTGGTGGCTGCCAATACCACAACCATTGAGGTATGATACTCGTATCAAGTTTGATAATTTCATTTGAATGAGTATATCCTTCGAATAGAGCTCACAAATTGTCAATATCATCATCACCCTCGGTCCCCCGGAGTGTAGCCCCGGGGAACCAAATTTTGTTGTAAATCATTTTGGTGCAGTCTATTCTAATATAGTATATTCTTTAGGTTTATTCAGCCTTTTGCCAATTTTGACAGAACTTTTGCTGTTCACTATCTGTTTCGTCTGTCCTCTCCTCAGAATGCTCTGAACATGCCTGAGACACTTTGGACATAGGTGGTGCTTTAGTGAAGAGGAGGGAGAGGGGAGAGGCTGAATTGAAATTTTCTAAGTTGATTAATCTAGTCAAAGCCATTTCTTCCTACTTCCAGGATACATTTCAATTGAAGTGGTTGGCCTGATGATATCTGATGTTTTTATTGACTTATATTCAGGCATATGAAAAGAAGACTACTCCAAAGTGGCGTTATGATCTTGGAAGGAAAAGGAACTTTGAACAGGTTGGTTTCACTTTAAATGGAATAAAGTATGATTTTTTTAATTTTATTTTTCTCACTAAAGTATTTCTTTAACGGTGATTGAGTCTGTCTAGTGGTTCATGACTGAATAAATATCAAGTACTTGCTATTGTTCTTGTCTGTTCTTAGGTGCCTCATAAAAATGGCTAAGCACTTTTTGTGCGAGTATGTATAGTTTACTTAGTTGAGGAAACTAATTTGTATGTGAATTGGCAAGAGACGCTAAGCATACTTTAATTTCCAAAACATGTTCCTCTGGTTAGATTGGAAAGTAGGATTACTCTATGATGATGTCATTGAGGTAATTGCTGTTGTCAAGCCAAAATTCGTCCATAATAGCTAATCTGGTGATATTATCTCCAAGGGAAAAGATAGGAAGATTGAAAAACATGAAAAATGATAATTGAGAAGGCACATGATAACTGATTGTTTTCAGTTGAAGCAGTAAGTCGAAGGGTAAAGAAGACTAATAATAAAATCTTGAATTCTATAATCCCTAACACGTATGTACCAAATCTTGAAAGTGAAGGTTTTGGTACGTGTTTGGTACGTCTTGTATATTTCTTAGGCTTTAATCCTTCTTGGTGGGCTTGATTGGTAATATATAATGTCTGAATCATGTGAAATTTTGCCCTTTTTTAAGATTCTACTCTTCCATTGATGAATCTCCTTTTGAGTATTAGGTGTTTGGAATGGACAAGATGTACTGGTTTATTCCGGCTTACTCAGAAGAAGATTTGCGGCGGATACCTGCCCTTCAGGGTCTTGAATATCCTTCAAAGCCTGACTTGGATGCCCAAGAATTATGATGACAAATATATGCCAATATGGCTCCACCTGGGCATCTTTTCTCTTCACAGACTCCGAAATGTAGTCGATATAATCAATTGTAACTAATTTGAGTCAGGAGCACTCCATCTCCAGCCTCTCTGCTGTATAGTGTTAATGGCGTATTTGGTAAGGTGGGTTAGATAACTGTAGATTATTCAAAAAGGAAAAGAAATTTGATCATTATACTGTAGTATCCCACCTGATACTGTGTTGTACTATAAGTGAACTTGAAGAAAAAGCAAAGTACTTCATACGGAAGTTTTCGTGGATTGTAGCTGAAGCTAGGATGTACTTACTGGCTGATGACTAGTTTTACTTATAAATATATGGAGTGCTGGCATGGCAATTTCTTGCTAGATTTGTATGATAGATGAATATTTGTTAGTTACACTAAAACGGAAGTTGTGCTGCAGTGATTTTTTACTTCCTTTCTCAGTTTATACAGGCTGACCCCCCTTAGATGAATTCCTACATTTTAGTTCCGCCTTTGAAGCATAGATTTCTTCTCATAATCAAATAATGAAGTTTTTCAAGTGGAATATGTGCCTTTGTTGGGACACGTACGTAGTTTTTTTTTTAATTGTATCTTGACATGTACCAAAAGAAAAATAGAATGTCAATTTGCATTCAAAGGAAAAGTCCAACTGTACGAAAGAATTCTCCAAAAAGATTCATTGAAGCCAAAAAGAGAGGTGAACTGGACGATAGCTTGCAACTCCAAACGACAGCCAAAGTTATTGCATTCGGTGCAATGCCGTGATTTAGAAGAGTATCAAGGCTTGCAAAATTGTTTTGCCTTGCTTTACATGTATATTATATGAAATCTCAACGTTTCTTACAGAGGCTTTGGAGTTTAAAAGGGCAATTGCTCGCCAGGAGCTTCATCAATAAAAAGACTTTCAGAAGAGGAGCCTGTGCTCATTTATGTATTTTCACCACTTCATGATTAAGGAATTGTATAGCTGAAAAATGCTTCTGGGCCAAACTTCTCTAATAGACTCATGGTCATCCTGGGAGAATTCTCAGACTCCATGTAGATTTTCACCATGCTCCAAACAGGGCAAGTTCAGGGCCATTTCAACGCAGTCTCGATCACAGAGTCGATCAGTCTTATCAATAACTCCATATGCAACAACATCAATCACCTTCTCATCAGCTTGTCTAATTCGTGAAGATTTCTAATTTCTAGTCAGTTGCATTTGCCACAGGTTTCTTTTCACCTTTACAATGCTTCCCCAGTCTCTCTGCACCACCATAAAAGTGCCTCCGAGATTGCTACTTTCATCAAAAAATTGAATCACATGTACAAGTCAAAAAATAATAAATAAGGAAATACAGCTATAACAACTTGCAATATTAAAGCAAGTATATGCTGCAATTTAAAAGAAACAGTCCTTTACAAATAAAAATGTGACTTTTCATTCCCTCCCACGATTTTCTTGATATATTAATTTGATAAAGTTCTCAAAACACTGCCCTACCAAATTGTGCCCAACATTTGTTAACTTTTCTATACTGGAAATTGGACTTTATACCCATATAGTGCATGAAGTGACATAGTAGAAATGCTTTACCATCAACTACAACGATTGCATCTTGACCTTCTGATCAAAAATCTGATCTGGCAGCTGTGAAGGATGAAAGAAGCCCCGCAGCTTGAGCAGGTAATATGTCACCAAACCTGCCAACTTGCCCCTCTGTCAGTATTGAACTCAGTCTAAGTGTGCTCTCCCCAAATTTGCTGCCAACCTGAGAATGACCGGGGATTCTAAATAATATAAGAAATAGTCTTATGACTAATGCTTAGTCAACACAATAATATAGTCTAATACAAAAAATGGAAACAGCTCTGAGAATAAATCAGTTTCTCTTATCTAATAAGTCTATGGGCCAATAAATCCAAAAAATGGCAGACTGGGAAAGAAAGAAATTTTGTAATTATCAAGTACTGAAGATATAATTTTTTTTTTTTTCTGTTTTCAGACAGAATTTCGGACATCAATAAATTTCATTTTTTAGCCTTCTGCCTCCGAAGATTATCATAGTATAATAACGGTTAGCTACAGCTACATAAATTGCTGATGAACAATACCAGAATATTGTAGCTGCAAGACAAAACTCACAGCATATGAAATAGGGCATAAGTTGTGATTGTAAGAAAAAGAGAATATCAATATAGTCAATGCCAAAGCCAAAGCCAAAGCCAAAGCCAAAGCCAAAGACAACATAAATAGAATTTTGCATCTCTGCTCAGCAACAAGTTCTCAAACTAATGAAGCACAAGAATAATAGTATTAACTAAAGAAGTAGCCTTTTAGCAAAAAGTTGCCTAAATTTCAAGTAATGCACAAAGCAAAAATGCCTTGGAGTTTTGGAGAATCACTTGCTTGGACCATTATTTTAAAAATGACTCTCTGGTTCTCTTTTTTATCCAAGGCTCTAGTCTGAATATAGTATAAGCTGAAGAGCATGAAATAGCACAGAGCTCATGCTTTTATGCAATAAACTTCTGGCTTCTGCTCGCTCAGAGAACCAAATTTCATATGTTAATTGACTTAACTACAGTTTCTATATGCGCACACACACACACATATATATATAGAACTTTGTTGGCTATAGAGCTCAGTTTGAGGCCTAGGCATTAGGCAATATTATATCAATTTCAACATTACTCCTGCAAGAAAATGTGTGGTGATAAAGAACTGGAAGAGGCCAGATACAAACTATAGCTTTTTTCTCTCTAGAACTGAGTTAGACTTTCCTACAGCCTTATCCTTCAATCATTGCTTGTTCACTATTGCTACTTTTGGCTTACCGGAGTAGACCGTACAAGAAATTGTGCATAAAATTGGAGGTAGTACTAGGTAGATAGGGGTGGATTAAGATGGATATATTTGAAGTTTTTCGTTCAAAAGAATGTTATTTGCACTATCTTTCTTATCCGGCCTAAACTCACCTTGTTCTGTACTATATTATCTAGTTAGCTTAAGAAAGTCAATACAAATAACAATCTTTTGAATTAAAAACTAAAAAAAATGCTATCCACCTTGATACATCTTAATACATCATCTACAGTGTGTATCCACTCTAATTTTATACTTAGTTTCTTGTACAATCTAATTTAGTGTACCAAACACGACCTAAACTAACATCATGAGCCCAAAATTATGATACTTGAGCCAGTTGAAATAAGTTCATCAAACAGCATAATCAATCTTAGACCATGAGAATGTTATTGCCAATTTTTTTGCATGATGAGCTAGGCGGCTAATGGGGTTGGTTTAATCAGGGAGCAAAAGATGCTTAATAATCACCAAATCATGGAAGGTTTTTCATAAAGGAGTGCCGGCTTAACACTATCTACTCCATTTTCATAACTTTAGGCACTTTTAAACTGGGACCCTCTAGAAAGTGTTGCTTCCGTTTAACTGCTTAACACTACCAACACCATTTTCATTAATTTAAAAACATATAAACTGGAACTTTTTACAAAGTGTAGCTTCCGTCTGCTCGTGCTCATTCTGTTAGACTTCACTGTAATGTCCAAAACGAGTAAAATTCCAGTCACTTCGAATACTTCTAACACCATCATTGCATGAGAATAAGTAGACTTAGACAGTCCAAGGGAATTTTGGGTGGGATGCCATCTGGAAACACAAGACTATGGAATTCACCAAAAATTACATAGGTAAATAAAATTTTTACCTCCATGAAAGACTTAAAAAGTGGTGCTGCCATCCCTAAACTAGAGTTTTCATCAATGTCAATCTTTCGTGATATCTCATCATTTCTGTAACTTCCCCATGACTTTCTCAAGGATATATCATTCATAGACGTGGATACTGATGCCCTGGCTGCACCCCTTGACGATAATGCTGGTGCACTAGATAACAGATAGAAGTTTTAGTATACATTTTCTCTGTTAAGTTGTAGAAATCATCTACATGAAAAAGGACCATATGAACAAGATAATTGTTGTAGAGGATAGTGAACTACCTGATGGGAAGATACTTGAAACGGGGTACTCTAGAGCATTGCATTATATTTGATTCGGAATTAGTGGGCAACCTCTTTACAGTATCCATATACATCCGATTCAGTTGCGCAAAAAACCCAAAGACAACAGCATGCCTCAGGTATAATTGCCTCTCGTTCCCCCAAAGGTATGGCTCGTAGCTGAAATGCAAAAATAAATCAGGATTAATAATTAAACCAAAAGAAAAGTGAGTATATTTATCTTATTTGCAACATAAAATATTTTGGTTAAAACGATACATACCACAAACTCTTGCTTTCCCCACTAAAAAGATGTAAACCAAATAATTACTCACTAAATAATCTTGTCAGCATAAATGATGCCCAGTTATTTGTTTTGCAATGTGCCTTTTTTCATTAAATTAATTTGCTACAATGTTTCTCAACAGGTATTATCAATATCACAAGAAGGCTGAGCAATCCAATCAATCAACTGTGTAAAATAGACTCAGGCATTCAAAACAAAACGTTCATATGTAGATTCACAAACTTACGTTAGCCAGTCTATAGGATCCAGTCTTTGTGAAAGACGATTGACCAACCCATCTACACGTTCTTTGATAACTGATTTAGCTTGCCGTACACCCTGTTTCCTTCTAAAAGGACTGTTCGCCTTCGGAATTTTAGCGGACTCCTCATTTACACTAAAATCACCGCCACAGAGAATATCAGCAGCAAATCTTAAATCCAACAAAACTTGCATGACACCTTTCTCTGACACTTGATGTCCATGAGCTTCCTCAATTGAAATGAATTCCTCATAAATTCCAATTAACTTTGCAAGTATACAAACAGAAAGAATGAAGTTTTAATTTTGTGTAATAAAAAGAAAAATGGTGATGAATGAACCTATGAACATGGTAATAAAAGCATTAAAGGCCGAAATGTTATAAAAATGCATGTAATCTTTAACCACTCTCATCTTGATACATACAACTCAATTTCGAATATGGAAGTTAATATTGTTGCTTTCAAGATGAACACTTTGCAGGCATTCTCTTTCTGTTTGAAACTCAATTTGTCACAGAGACAAGCCAAGTAGAATATCTTTTGGGATTCAGTAAAAGAGCTTCCAATTCACAGGCATGTATAAATTAATTGACACACTGCAAGCGAACAACAATTTTCATACTGAACACAAGCATAACGAAATCTCAACAATTATAGACTGTCAATCATTTTCCTGTCATGAATAAGAAGACTTATGTATCTCCCATGTGTTGCACAAAAGATAATTTCACCCATAAAAGCTGGAATCTCCAAATATTTATGCTTTTCTGATTCTTTTGTTGCTACACCTTAACAAGGTCAATTGGAATCATGGAAAGTTGATATATTTATGCTTTTCTGATTCTTTTCTTGCTATCTCTTTTGGAACAAGGGATACAATAAATAGCCATAAGGCCATCCAGTGACTATTAATTTAACAAAGATTTTTCCAGTTCAGCCTGTCTCTTGTAACAGAATGTTAGCCTAACACGACTCAGAGAGTGCAATTCACAACTTCTTTAAGCATCTAAGCATTATTTTGCATAACTGATATAATCTTGACATTCAAGCTTTCTGGTAAAAGAATTTTTGGCAAGGAAGAGAAATTTAATGGAAAAGAAGAAACAGGTGGGGATCATCCAAGAGAGATAACATTCAACTCATAATACATGGTCAGCAGAATAAAGGAGAATGAGATGCGTTTCATCAGCTTTAGGATAGTGCAACATAAAATATTTCCAGAAAGTTATAAATTGGAAGTTCCAGAACTATATGTTCAAATTGCAGAAATTGATTTTAGAATGTCAATATTGACATTACAAATTAAGATGTTTGGGGATACATCCCTGCGAAAATAAAATCTCATGCTGACTTGATAGTTTTTCAGACTATCTTAGAGGACAGATTCAAAAATCAGGCTAAGTGCACAAAAAGCAAAGCACCATTATTCAATGTGAAGAATTTACCAGAGAAACAAACCAAACAAACAAGTAAATATGACATTAGCAACCATTGCAGGAAAGGACATTAGCATCTCAACCAATAGTTTATGATAATTCCATTAGGCAAATAACTTCAGTGACTGAGGCAAAGAAATGAAGACCGAAGATTTCTTAATTGATATGAGGACTTAAAATTATATCGCAGATGACTCTATCAATCATCTTCATTCTTCACTTGAGTATTTCTACTTTTATGTAAAGCCTGCAGGAAAACTACAACCATTGTTTCCCTGCTGTGTAACTGAAGGACTAGAATAATAACCTTTTGCAATGTTGGTTGGATAATCTAACATGCTATGACATCAGATACTATCATAGATAATAGTATTTGCAGCCAACAAGTGCAGGAGATAAGATTTAACTTAATAACATATAACCTTATACCTTATCCAATAGTCTTGAAGCAAAATTCTGCAGAATTGGTTTATCAAGTACATGACCACCAGTGCGATGAATTTCTTCGCATGCTAGGAAAAGAAATGAGGTTATGTAAAGAGACGGCATGGAAGGAAGGGATATTTTCAGCTCTGGCTGGCCTTCACCAGACTGCTCTTGCTTGACTACAGTCTCCTCCCAACCCTGCCAAATTAATGAAAACTACTTGATTATACAGACAATAGTTATTCACTGTGAAAAATTAGAAAGCAATCATCTTGTATGCTTGCATGATATATAAGGACACGGAAAACCAAAAAAAAAAAAAAAATTAAAGAGAAGGTAACTTTTGGAAATCACAAAACTTAATTGTCTGTTGAAAAATCAGCATATACTTGGACAAGCTAGTAGAAGAAAATGTACTTAAGTCAGAGATGTCTGAACAGTAAATACTTAGAAATGAACTTATAGCCAAGAAAAAGAGGTATATTTTGAGATAGTTAATTTCTGAACTAGCTTCGGTGCAACATTTTATATGGCAGTTCTGGAGAACCTTTTTTTTTTTTGCTTCCTGACCCATATTGACAACTTCAAAGAGTTGGTGATTATAATATTTCAGCTTCTTCATATGTGATAGAACAACTTCTCAACTCAAAACTAGTCACAGACTGGGCAATACAAGGGCAAAACACTATTATGCAATTAAATTATTATCACCTAAAGAATTCATGTGCATGAATATGACCACGAGTGAAATATCCTCACCATATGTTTGAAGGGGAAAATATATTTCACCCACAAATTTGAACATGGTATCCAGCAAAAGGCTACTTACTCTCAGAGGTGCAGTTGATGACAAGGCATCGTCCTGTCTGAGATTGCCAGAGAGAATGTCTGAGAGTTCGTCGGATACCCAAGATATCCACAAGTTATGAGCTTTGATGCATAGATCCTGGATTGCCTTGCGTAATTCTTCAAGTTGGGGGCTTGAACTCTCATCTACTCCAAACAAAGCGGCAGTAACCAGAGAAGTCAGTCTTTTCGTGGAATCAAGCATTTTCTTTCCAGGACTATCAGACACTGGGGAGTCAGCGGATGTGCACCTCAGTATGCTTGGAGATTGAAGAGGTACTGCAGACACGATTTCATTCACCCATGACCTGGGTGAACCAAGAATCACAGGGATGTGCACAGAGTGCTTTTGAAATGCGAAGAGAAGACGCCCTATAAACAATGATCTCTCAACAAGTATAGCAGGAGGCAGTGCAGACTCTTTGTTTTTCTTTCTATTTTCCAGGTCAATATATAGGTGGTCCAGCTCATTCTTGAGTTGCATCAATATGGTTGACATGCTTCCATAACACTTATTTTGTAAATATGGTGCCAAATCCTTCGTCCTCACTAGTGTCTTTGGTGACTCGAGGAAGCTGAGAAGATCCTCAAGAACACTCTCGCAGCAACTGTCTACTGTATCTCTGATCCGGCTGACTTCAGGACCAAAGTAAGCATTAAGACAACCACGAAAATCACTTTCCTGGGGGATCTGTGATTTTGAACCAGGGACAGAAGCAGGCCTTTTACCATTTGGTTCCATGAACCAAACTCCACCACCAATAGAAGATCTGCTCAAATAAGCTTGGAAACGAACTTGATCACCAGGAGCTTGCGAAATTAAGCGAACTGATTCCACCACATCAACAACCCTACTCATCTCATCAAATCCCAAGTCGATAATCGCTTTCATCCTTAGAACAAAAGCATCTTCGAATATATCATCCCAAAGATCTGAGTCATCACCCAAGACAAGCTCACGAGTCCTCTTCCATGGTAACTCAATTTCAGAACCAAAAACATTCTTGAGCCACTCCAAGCTCCCTTCTAAAACCTGCTTACTGTCAATTGTTTCCCGTATCAACTTCTCAGCCGAAGAAAGATCTCTCCCAGTACCAATTACATCAATCAAGTACCTCCCACTAATCTTGCTCATAATCTCCTTTCCGCAATTCCGCAACCAGTCTGAACAAGTCTTGGAGATAGAATCTCGATCTAGAATTATCATCACAGAATCCAACTTTTCCTCAAATGAATTCCACAGCCTCACTTCCTCATCAGGGACCGGAATGCCCCCAAACAACTGAGAAGCGGGAGGGGAACCCAGTATGGTCTTGTAGAATAAAGGCATATCATTCAATACTTGCAAGAACAATTCTCCTACTTGACCTATACTAACCTGAATTATCTTTAGAACTTCACAGAACACCGAAATTACATCAGAACTATCAGCATTAGCATTGTTACAACAGGCAATAAGTTTCTGAGACATACATGATTTTCGTGAATCTAGAAACAGAGTCAAAACCTGTTTAGGATCGAGCTCGTCTATGATGGCAACTGCCGCCAGCGCATCTGCATAGGCATTGATCCCAAGATTAAGGGTTTGATCTAATAATATCTCGCGACTCCTCTGCGAGATCTGAGCCTTAAAACTCTCCACGATTTGCCACTGGTGCTGCAGCAAAGGGAAATTCGACAACACATTCTTACTGTCTTTATTATTAACCAAATTGAAATGCACGTGCTTTGCTCGAACATAGCGAGCTGAAGCCTCGAGAAACATGGACTCATCAAGGCATCCCCATATATTCTCCGGGGTATCTACCAGGTACTTGACCCGGCAGGCAATTCCATAAATACTTGCCCTGGCGGGGTTGAAAGCGACATTAGGCGACCTCGGGGAATCAACAGGTGAAAATAGGGAATGTAGAATTGCATTGCGAATTGCATCAATATTCGCAGAAATGGATTCGCTAGTAGACTTCATGAGAACAATGGAATCAGCGGAATCGATGAGATCCCGATAGCGATTTCCGACAAGTTGCCGGAGCTCCTCACTTTTGTCGGAAATCTGTTTCCTCGTAGTCGCCTCCACAGTTCGGAATTCCGATAAAGATTTCGCCCGGAACAAGGATTCGGCAATCTGGATTCTATCGCCTCCCATCGTGTGTTTCCCAAATTAGGGGTTTTTTGATCTATTCGGATTTCCGATATAGATTTCGCGCGGAACAAGGATTCGGCATTCTGGATTCCATCGCCTCCCATCGTGTGTTTCCCAAATTAGGGGTTTTTTGATCTGCGGGGAAGTAGTTTATTGGTGTTTAATTAAGGTGCTGCTGCATCAATGGCGTCCGGATCTCGTGTGTCACTGTCCCTCGCTTAGATGGATATGGGTTATTGGATCCTGTAATCAGATCCGAACCCGGGAACAAATCCTGATGACGAGAAATGAATTCGACCGTTTATATTCAACTATTCAAAGAGTAATGCAGCACGTTTAAACAAATTTTCGGACATACTGTATGTTAGGTAGAAATTAAAATCTTAAATCTTAAATTTTATGGACTTAAAATTTTTTTTTTCACCATATATTTTGCCCTTGTTTGGCTCTCATTTTAATGAGATTTTCAAAATAATATATTTCGAAATATTAATTTTTGGAAAAATATGTGGTTAAAAAAAAAAAAAAATTGGTTTATACATATTATTTTATTGAAAAATATGTGAATGAAAATAAGAGAGAAAAATATATTAAGGACTTGTTTGAGCCTCATTAAATTGGAAAAAAAAATGCATTTTTAAATAGTAAATTGATAGAGAATGCGTGGATAAACAATAAGGAAATTTTTTTGATTTACGTGTTATATTATATTATTGAAAAATGTGTGGTTGAAAAAATAAAGAGAAAAATATATTTTATAAAAAATGAAAATCAAATAAGGCCTAAAATTTTAATGGGGTCAAACAAGAGCTTCATCAACTTTTAATAAAAATTTAATTAATACATTGATTTAACGGTAATGCTCTATTTCTATTTAAAATACATTATTTTCTAACTAATATCCATCAAACAATAATTCATATTTGATTTCACGGTAATGCTCTCTTTCTATTCTCGAGTAATCATATTATCGTTCCATTTTAGAGTCATGCGCTAATCAACTTTTGTTCATAGAGAGGGACATGCAAAGAAAACAATAAAACTACATATTTTTGTAAAGGTGTTCTCAACCAATTCATTTATAAGGTTTTCAATAGGGTAACAGTGCCTTGGTTCTATAGGATTTACAGTCTCTTTCATGATGCAACTTGTTACTTGGTCATTAAATTTTTTGATATTTGTTGATCCCAAAAAATGTTGTCAACAGATACCGGGCCCACTCGTGTACATGTAAGCTAAATCCAACACGTTAGTATCGATCGACAGTCATAATATCTCCAGAATCTGAACGTGGGAGGTGCTCAACGACTTGAGACGTCTCCGTTCGGGCCTCCGGCGAGATAACTAGAACACGATTGTATAATAAACCAATCGATAAATAACGAGATTTGTAATTGAAATATGCTGATAAAGAGAGAATAATATAGCTCCGAGTAGTTAGAAGTTCATTCAGAATTTGCATTAGCCATTCTTGTGCTACATGGTGTGGGTATTTATAGTGTTACAAATCAAATGGTGGCCTTTGGATCAAGTTACACGTGGTCTCATCTTCTCGACCAAGACATCAAATTCTAGCTATCAAGTTGACTCTCCTAGCCTTACAAAGCATTAAATGCTCTTATGACAAGACAAGACACAAATGTACTTTACACAAAAGTCACGTCAATCATTGAAATAAAGATCTTCATTATTGCTATATCTTTCCACGTGGATTTCCACTAGCTACAACAAAGGGGCCTCGGATAGTGCATGTCCACCGAACCGTGGCTTTAGTTAACAATAATGACCTCGGAATAAGTCAAGGCCTCATAATCCACGTCGGAGGCTAGGAAAATATACCCCCGATTTAATTAGGCTGGTCCCACTGCTAAAATATGGTGCCGCGTGTCGCTTCCGTTTATGACTCGTAACAATATTAACTCTATAACATTGTTATAATGTTGAAAGATATTCAAAACTAGAACGTTAAATACCACTGCCTCCATTCCCATTCTCCATCACTGAAGAATTTTAGAGTTGGATATGACATCCTGTCTGGAGATGAATTTCAATATAGTTACCATTGATTAGATGTTCTGAGATTGGAGTATTGAACTGGATATTGCTTTCATATATCTATATTCATATTGCGTCTACTCGCCTTGTCCCTCTCCTATTGATCTGCTTGGTTTGTTTTTTTTTTTTGTTCCTTAGTTATCTGTGCTAGAGGCAGTGGATTTAGTATTATGAGCTATGATAATTTCTACAAAATCGCGCTTCATAAATGCATTGGTTTTTAAGAACAAGGTGTTTGCCAATCTGGACAATATATCTAATGCATCAATGGACTATTGAAGCGATGCTGTCATTTCTGTATGAGTCACAATTCAGTTACTTTTCGAAAGATGGAGGTAGTAGAGCGGCTATACTGAAATGAAAGTGGACATTCGTGACAAATTTGGTACAAAACAGTGGGAAAAAAGCTACAAGGTCTGTGACTGATGGTGTTTTTTACCCTGTAACTATAAGTTAATAGGCAAATTTAGCTTTTACATGGATGAAAACGTTTAAGATTTTGGGTTTTGGATGGTTGAAGTCAACCATGCCTGCTTGTTGCATAAACTAGAAACAATGCCAGTTTCCTGTTAGTACGAAACATTTCCCTGGTGTGTGAAGGGAGTGATATTGATGCATGGAATGATTTCCCACGGGCGTTCTTCACGTGGAAGATCCAGGAAAGTTGTCCCTGTTGAGTGAGCTTTCTCAATTCTTTGTGGTGAATAAATTAGCGCTGTGTTTTCCATATAATTTCGTTAAGTTATGTGCTTTGGTCTTTTTGCATCCTGATCCTGTTCTGATGGTCAAATGTTTGCCGATAAACCTATAGTTAACCGCTGATGAACGGGGGCGGATCCAGGAATTTTTCGCGCACGAGCTAAAATCTAACACTAGGTTCGAACTACGGGAAACAAGTAAAAAACAAGTGCTAAAATTTTTAGTATAACTCTAAATTGGCAGTTTCCTCCCCCGTCACCACTTGAAAGCCCACCAAAGATAACAGATTGGCGAATTAAGCTTAAGAAGTTGTTCGATGTGGAAACCACCTTCACAGCTTAAAACAGCAGAAAACACGAAGAACCAAACTAGCCAAACCAAAAAATCCCTCCATCTCTTGGGTTTTAAATTAGACTATATGATTTAAAATTAGGTTTGGGTTTGAATTCAATCTTACATTTCAACTGCACAATATGTGAGAATTTGACCTCCATTTTGACGGATTAAGTACCCACTTTCTACCATTAGTTTTTCCCTATTTATGGCCATATTGGCAGCGAAAGGCAGAACATATCCCAGCCATTTTCTTAGCTTGTTTCGATGCCAAAGAAAGAAAATAAAGGGATTTTTTTGTACTGAGCTAGTGGTGAATTTGCTGTTGGATATTTTCTTCGTAACACCACCGAGCTAGTATGCCTGCGGCGGTGAGTGAAGAACTTGACGGCGCCATGCCAGAGATGAGGGAAGGTGTTGGTCGACCGTCGACGTTGAAGAAGAGAAGGGAGATGATGGCACTGTGTGATTTGGGATAATTTATGGTTTGAGATTTCAGATTTGGATGGATATAATTTTGGAGAGTTAATTGTTTCAACGGTTACTGAACTTTACAAAGTGTCACAATTCACTAACTGAACTTTAAGTTGCATCTCATCACTCACTGAACTTAGTAAAGTTACACTACATCCATCAAAAGGCTAATTC